CCATACTACCCAAAGCAATCTATAGATTTAATGCACTCCCCATTAAAATATCAACAGCATATTTCACAGACCTAGAAAGAACACTCCAAAAATTCATCTGGAATAAAAAATTTTAAAAAAGACCCTGAATAGCCCAAGCAATCCTGAGAAAGAAGAGTAAAGTAGAGGGAACTCAATACCAGATTTCAAGCTGTATTACAAAGCCACTGTTCTCAAAACAGCCTGGTACTGGCACAAGAACAGACAGACAGACCAATGGAATAGAATAGAGAATCCAGATATCAACCCAAATAATATTTGACAAAGGAGGCATGAACATACAATGGAGTAAAAACAGTCTATTCAACAAATGGTGCTGGGAAAATTGGAGAGATACATGCGAAAAAATGAAACTAGACCTCCAACTTACACCATATGCAAAAATAAACACAAAGTGGATACAGGATTTAAACATAAGACGGGAAACCATAAAAATACTAGAGGAATCCACAGGCAGGAAAATCTCAGACATATGCCAAAAGAACTTCACTGATACTAATCCTAGGGCAATGGAAGCTAAAAAGAAAATAAACAAATGGGACTACATGAAATTAAAAAGCTTTTTCACAGCAAAGGAAACCATCAATAAAACAACAAGAAATCCCACTACATGGGAGAACATATTTGCCAATGATATCAATGATAAGGGTTTAATCTCCAAAATTTACAGAGAACTCATACAACTTAACAAAAAGAAGATAAACAACCCAATCAAAAAAATGGGCAACTGAGCTAAATAGACACTTTTCGAAAGAAGACAGAAGGACAAGAGACATATGAAAACATGCTCAAAGCCATTAATCATCAGAGAGATGCAAATCAAAACAATAATGCAGTACCATTTTACACTGGTCAGAATGGCTATCATCAACAAATCAGCAAATGACAAGTGTTGGTGAGGATGCAGAGAAAAAGGGACTCTTTTACACTGCTGGTAGGAATGCAGACTGGTGTAGCCACTATGGAGAACAGTATGGAGTTTCCTTAAAAAACTAAAAATGGAACTCCCTTTTGACCCAACGATCCCACTTCTAGGAATATATCCTAAGAAACTAGAAACACGAATCAGAAAGGATATATGCACCCCTATGTTTATAGCAGCTCAATTCACCATAGCTAAGATCTGGAAACAGCCTAAATGCCCATCAGCAGATGAAGGGATTAAAAAACTGTGGTACATCTACTCAATGTAATACTATGCTGCGGTAAAAAAGAAAGAGTTCCTACCATTTGCAGCAACATGCATTATGCTAAGTAAAATAAGCCAGGCAGAGAAAGATAAACATCACATGATCTCACTCATTTATGGAATATAATGAACAGCATAGACTGATGAACACCTGAGAACACCTTTTCTGCCATGCTAGCAGTCAGCAGCTGTATGGTAATATAACCTGGGGCTATTGGGTAAGTATTTCTGGACTTATGTTCCTAATCCTCCATGGGTGGGAGCCGTTACCTGGGCTGAGCCTTCTGCCCAAAGTAGTCACTGATACCAAACACCTTGGTCATCCAGGAGGATCACGGGTGGAACAAGGAAGTATAATTACATAGGGTAATTACATAGGGGTCACCACCCAGCTGCCATTCTGTATGACACAAAATTAAACCACTGATCCTTTGTGTGTAAAAGTAAAGAGAGGTTTCTGGCTTGTGAGGATACCAAAGGAAGGGACCATCACTACTTCCTCCTGAGAGGTGGAGAAAATGTAACAAAGACCTTGTCTATACAAAAAGAAATTGACAGCCAGTTTAAAATGGAATTTCCATGGCCTAGAGCAAAGATTATCCTTAGATGATATTATTCTACAAGGTCATTATAATTTTTCCCAGACTTGGGTTATCCCCATTACCTATAATAGTACCTCCCACCATGGGGTATCAATAAAAAAAATCATTTATTTTATTTTATATATATTTGTTGGTGCTTGGAGACAAAGGTAACACATCTCTAGATATTTTAGAATTACAACAGCATATTGTACAATTATCCCAAACAAACTTATAAACCAATCCTTTGAAAGTCTGGCAGCAATTTAAAAATGACATGAAAGGACTTCGTTCCTTCCATTGTGCAGAGGGCCCCCTGGGAAGACACCTGAGCATTCTATACTGGCCAGTCTTGCCCTTTTGGCCAAAAATGACCCTCTTCTTGTGATCCAGGTGACCACAACTGTTGCCTGACCTTTCAGTTCATGCCAAGGCTGAAGCACCATTGTAGCTGGTACCATAGATCTCTCTCCTGGCCAGTGGGGTAAGCTGGGCCCTCTCTGGAGAAGAAACATAATCCCAAAAATATGAGATCAGTGCCCGGGCATCACCAGCAGGTGAGGGATCCCCAAGGCAGGTGCTGGGTGTGGAGCCCATGGGGGCATAGGCTACCAAGGAGACAGACTAAAACTCACATCACCCTGTTTGGCCCCGGAGGATGGCTGGTTAGCCAGAGATGGGTAAGATTCCTCAGGGAAGGGACAATCTAAGACAGGCACAGTCGCAGAGGGGCTAACAGGAGAGAACTTGGGGGTCAACAGAGATGGGGCACAGACCCTTACCACTCCCCCCGCAACGTGGCAGGCCCCTGAACCTTCTCCCATTCTGAAGGAGGTCTCCTGCCCCCATGGCTGCTTAGTTTCCCATCCACAGCTCAAATTGGGACCCAGGTAACAGACAGAGACTTGGCTGACAGCAACTTCCATCTCACTGCAACAAGTCTTGTTTGAGAGGCCTGGAACCCATGGTGTGGAAAAGAGGGTTTTTAATATCTAAATCCAGCCTAGTACCAGGAATGCTCAGGCCCTTCTCAAGAAGGCAAATAATCAATTCCACTAATACACACATGGTAAATAAGATTATTGCTAGAGTGTTGAGTTTGACAGTTGAATAGTAGCCAATTTCTCAGAGGAAATTAATGTGGCTAATGGAAATAAATGAATATTCTAGAAAAACTGATTGTACTGTACAAAAAGCTGTTCCTAAAGTGTTAAGAAAAATTCTTATTGGCAGAGCGTCTCATGGTAAAATTGCATAATATGTTATGAACCTAAAGCAGTCATAGTTTAGCACAAATAATTAAAATGTAAAAGCTATCAAGACTACATTATAAAATTTCCAAAAGTCTCCTATTATTTAAATTAAAAAAGGGAGTGACAGTGGAAGAATATCATGTAAGGAAAAATATCCTGCGAATAATTTACATCTAAAAAATTTGTACTTTAGAAAATTAACCTTCATTCGAAATGCTAACAGAAAGATACCCATGAAAATACACACATGATGTCAAGACAAGCCAGAGGAAAATCATTTGGGGGGGGGGGAAATGAAAAAGGATCCCACGTCAAATTTATAGAAAATATCCCTTATTAACTTTTGGTCAAGAATATGTTTGTATATTTTTAGAAAACAACTCCTAGACCATCTGGAATCCTGTAACAGAGAGGAATAGAGAGAAGTGCTCCAGCATGAAGACAGAAGAGAAACAATTAAGAGATGGAAGATGCTGACAACACCTCGCCATACCAGCAGACAGCAGCTGCGTGTTGCTGAAGGATGCCCAGGACCAAACCAGAGACGGTCGGACCTGCATCACCACCATTTGTCCACCAATCAGATCTGAAATATCATGGCTGACATGTACACATAAGGAACTATTTGACATTGAAATTGGGACTCAAAAGAACTGTTGGCCCAGAAAGGAGCTCACTACAGACTGATTCATTTGCCTCTCAGCATAACCATTATGGCTTGTCTCAGTTTAGGTTCTTACAAGGGCATTTCTTAGATCACATGATCTCACACATCTAGAGGAAATGATGAACAACATAGACTGATGAACAAAAACAGACTCAGAAAAAGAGAAGCACCAAACAGACTTTCAAACCTCAGAGGGAAAGTAGGGGAAGGTGGGGGTAAAGGGGAAGAGATCAACCAAAGGACTTGTGTGCATGCATATGGGCCTGACCAGTGGCCATGGACAATTGGGGGGGGGGGGGGGGTGATGGCATATGTAGGGAGGGGGAGGGGTCTGGGATGGGATTGGGGGGATGAGGACAATTATGTGATACCATAATCAATTAAAAAAATGGGGAGAAAATAAAAAAATAAAAAACAACAACTAAAATCAGAACGGACTTCATCTAAAAACACAGGAAAGCTGGCGGAGTGGAAAATCTACAACTAGGAAGAAGGAGAGAGGCTCATGGATTGGACTGGGAGCAGCAAAACGCTGAGGTAGGGAGATGCTTGAGTGTGCACGCAAAAAGGAAGTGCAGCCAAATGCCTGCCTGGCGAGAGAGGAAGAATTCCCAAGTGCACTGAACCCTTTCCAACTGAACCCCAACTTCGGCTGAAACCCCAAGGACCCAGGCTCATATAGGTGGAGTCTGGCCTGTAGAGAAAGGCACCCAGACACTCAGAGACTAGGAGACCAGGGGAGCCAGGAGCTGCAGCGGGCAGGGTCTACAGTCACACACGAGTGAGTACCTACAGAGGTCTGATCACTGAGGTTGCCGCGGCCTCTCCATAGCAGAAGGAGTCAGAAGGGAGTCATGGGGCGGGGGAGAAACAATTGTAATAATTTGAGCAATAAAGATTTATTTTTTTTAAAAAACAAGTCTTTGGCAATGTAGAAAAGAATATATTTCAGGAAACAGTGATGCTTTTTTTAAGGCTAATAAAAAAGAGAAAGATTATAAGAAACTAGATCCAAATATGGATAGGAAAGAATATCACTAGAGAAGGCAAAGAGGGCAACAGCTGGTTAAAATTAGGAGATAAGTATAAGAGGAAAAGGACAGGCAATATATTAAGAAAGGGGAAAAGGTAAGGTCACTTAAAAGTCATGCTGAAAAGTCTTACTTTTGCACAACAGGCTTAAAGTTTTTATGGGAAACTTCCCAGAGAGCATCTCAAAGGTGTAGCCTCTCCATTGAATAACTGGGTCATTACTATCATGCCTCACTTACCTGGATATTGGCTTCCTGTTACTTCTCTGTCAACCAACCAGGGTTCCTTCCCCTGCTCCAAGAAGGAGATCACATCTGGTTTAGAAATAGAATGTCCTGCTTATAAAAGAAGTAATGAGACATGTTTATGATAAGAATGTCCCAGAATTCAAATCCAGTTCCTTCATTAAGAAAGAGTTAAAGACCCTGGCCAGTGTGGCATGACCTCCTTTGAACCAGGAGGTCATGGTTCAATTCCTAGTCCAGGCGTATGCTCGGGTTGTGGGCTCGGTTCCCAGTGTGAGGCATGTAGGAGCCAGACAATTAATGATTCTTTCTCATCATTCATGTTTCTCTCTCTTCCTCTCTGAAATCAATAAAAATATATTTAAAATAAAAATAAAAACATTCCTCTAGGAACTGGATTAGAAATCTACTGGTTAATTGAAAGGTAGGTAAGTATTTTACCCTGGAGGAAGCAGACATTCTGAGGGCAGAATCTGAATTAATATGGACAGAAGTCCTTACCCACTGAAATCAGGTTGTTGTAATTCTCCAACATCACATCTCTGTATAAATCTCTCTGATCATCATTCAGGCATTCCCACTCTTCCTGAGAGAAGTCTATGGACACATCACTGAACACCACTGACTCCTAGAACAACAATCATGCATATGACTTGATTAACTTTAAAAAATGTTTTTGTGAAGGCAAGAGAAGAAAATAAAGGTAGAAGTGAAAAATAGCAAGCATATAGAGAAGGGGTAAATGTGGGAGGATTGTAAACAAATAAGCATGACTTAACCAATAAGTTTCCATATCATTATGTTTCCTCCAGACAAAACTGACCGAGTATACTGGGATACTTCCACTATCTACATAAGTCTGGGAAGGTACAGTCTACTAAGAAGTTTCCTAATTAAATGAGTTGGTATGTCAAATGCCTAACACAATACTCATCATATAATACAAATGTGCTTCTTTTTTCTCTCCTCTTTTTCCAAATGCTAAAAGTAAAATTTCAGAAGGAGGGAAAAAGAGAAGACATTAAAAGCATACAGAGAAGAGTAGATCATATAAAAGACATCAAGAATCAGAGAGACAATGGGTTCTTTACAACACTATCTATATATATTTTAAAAACGAATATGCAAAGTGTCTCCTCAGGATTTCCTCCAGGAAACTGGGAGTTTGATCACTCACAATAACATGTGCTGACCACAAGGGGGCAGAACAGAATGAAGGAAGGTCCCAGACAGCAGCCAGAAAGAAAGCCCCAATCAACCCAGATCACTGGCCAGGCCTAGGGACCTTACCCATGCACTAATTTCATGCACTGGCCTCTAGTTAAAAATTTTAAAAAGTCTCCAATATTTTTATGGAAAAAAAGAAATTCTGACCAAAAATTCTATAATAGAACTATCATTCTAGTGTAAGAGCTGAAAAATACCTAGACATAAAAGGACACAAGCACAATTTCTTAGGAAACTATCAGATGATGTGCTCCACCAAAATGGGGAAGTAAACCAAAAAAGAGGAAGACATAAGATTCAAGAAAATAGGTAAATTAGCACAGAAAACAGTGAAGGAAATCCAAGGAAACAGAAGAAAAAAGGAAAGTCTTGAGAAAACTGCAGCAGAACTAGAGAGTAGCAGACTAGATAGGAGCAGGAATTAAAAGAGAATAGAGATTAAAGTCTCCACATGCAAAAGGAATGATGTGTTTGATCAAATGAAAAACATTAATTAGCATGTGACAATGATTCTGGAAACATTGGATAAAAATACATTGATAGCCCTAGCTGTTTTGGCTCAGTGGATAGAATGTTGGCCTGCAGACTAAAGGGTACATGCTTCAATTCTGGCCAAGGGCACATGGCCAGGTTGTGGGCTCAATCTCCAGTGGGGGATATGGAAGGGGCAGCAAATCAATGATTCTCTTTCATTATTGATGTTTCTCTCTCCTCCTTTCCTCTCTGAAATCAACAACAACAAAAAATTTAAATACATGGATAATTAAGCAAATGTGAGGAAAAAAAATTAACCTCAGGAAAAATAAAAGTTAAATAGAATAAAGGTGAGCTAGCTCCGCAGTGAGTGATATTTATAGATTAATATCCCATAGACTATTGATGTAACCAAAAATTGTAATATAATTAATTATAGAATCAGAGGAAATTAAGGGAGCAATATGGGAATACAATGTCCCTTCCACTCTGCAGTAAGTCAAGAGATAATGAATAAAATAGATTCATAAAACAAATAGCAATTCAACCATATTCAAGAGTTCAAGAGGAAAGAAAGTTGTGGGACTAAGTGAAAAAGATGAAGGGATTAAGAAGTACAAATTGGCAATTACAAAAGTCATGGCGATGTAAAATACAGTATAGAGAATATAGTCAATCCTATATAATAAAAAGGTAATATGCAAATTGACCATTACTTGCACAAAATGTCCGCCCCCAGGTGGTCACAAGATGGCCACCATGGGAGGGTGGTGAGGGGGGTCAGGCATGCAGGGGAAAGCAGTTGGAAGGGACCAGGCATGCAGGGAAGGGCAGTTGGGGGCAATTGGGCCAGTAGGGGAAGGCAGTTGAGGGCGATTGGGCTGAGAGGGGAGCAGTTAGACATTGATCAGTCTGAGAGAGGAGTGGTTAGGGGGTGATCAGGCTGGCTGGCAGGCAGGAGAGTGGTTGGGAGCCAGCAGTTTTGGACTGTGAGAGTGATGAGGCCTAAACTGGCTGTCGGACAAACCCCCAAGGGGTCCCAGATTGGAGAGGGTGCAAGTTGGACTGAGGGACACCCCCTCCAGTGCACAAATTTCATGCACCAGGCCTCTAGTAATTTACACTAATAAAAGAATTAACCATCACTCTACTACACCCACCAGCCAATCAGGAGTATGCAAATTAACCCAACAAAGATGGCAGCAGCCACAAAGCTCGAGCAAGCAGGAGGCTTGGGTTGCCCCCAGCGAAGGAGGAAGCCAAACTTCCTGCCCGCCCTGGCATCCACTCAAGGCTACAAAGTTTCAATTATAAAAGATAAATAAATCCCAGACACCTACTTCCAGCAGGCCCTGGCCTCCGCTCAAGGAGGCGCTGAAAGAAAAAAAAAAGGAAAAAAAAAAAAGGAGGGGCTGGGATCTTTCATGGCCAGCCTGAAAACAGCCATCAGCCCCTCACCCAGGCTGGCCAGGCACCCCAGAGGGACCTGCCCCCCCCCCAACCTTAAGGGGCTGTGGCCAGCTGAAAACAGTCCTCAGCTCCTCACCCAGGCTGGCCACACTCCAATGAAGTGAGGGTCCCAGCTGCTGGGCTTCACCAGCCTGCAAACAGCCATCAGCCCCTCACCCAGGCTGGCCATGGCTCCCCAGCAGGGACTCTCCCCCCACAGGACACCCTTCAGGGCAAACCAGCCAGCCCCCATCTGTGCACAAGGCCTCTATCTATAATAATAAGAGGGTAATATGCTAATTAGACTGGGAGACCTTCCAGACGTTCTTATAGATGGCGACAGTCACAGAGTAGAAGCCACAGAGCTCAGCCCCACCACAGAGCCCATGGTGGTGGGGTTGAAGTAGAGGCAATTAGAAGCCAAGAGGGGAGCGCAGTTGTGGATGATCAGGCCAGGATGGGATGGCAGTTGTGGGTGATCAGGCTGGTGGGTGGCGGGCCGTTGGGGTTAAGCAGATCAGCAGGGGGCCAGTTAGGGGCCAGGGGGGTTCAGTGGAGGTGGTCAGGACAGTGGGGGAAGGGGGGCAATTTGGAGTGAGCAGGCCAGCAGGGGACAGTTGAGGGTGAACAGGCCAGTGGGGAAGAGAGGTGGGGGTGAGCAGACCAGTAAGGGGGGACAGTTGGGGGCAAGCACACTGGCACAGGGGGCAGTTGGGGGTGATCAGGCTGGCAGGGGGGCATTTGGGGGCAAGCAGGCTGATGGCAGGGGTCAGTTGGGAGTGAGCAGGCCAGCATGCAGAGTGGTTGGGGCAACCAGGCAGGCAGGTGAACGGTTAGGAGCCAGCAGTCCCAGATTGCAAGAGGGATGTGTGACTGCCGGTTTAGGCCTGATCCCTGCAAACCAGCAATAGGACATCCTTTGAGAGGTCCCAGATTGGAGAGGGTGCAGACCGGGCTGAGAGACACAGCCCCCTTGCACGAATTTTGTGCACTGGACCACTAGTATTATAGTATAATAATTATGTATGGTGCCAGCAAGTAGTTGAAGTATCATGGGGAATTACTTTGTAAATTATATGCTATCTAACTACTATGCTGTATACCTGAACCTAATACAAAATAATATTAAAAAACAACTGTAACTTAAAAATTAAATTTAAAAAGAGAGTTGAGGGCAGCCACCTTTTAGGAGTGGAACTGGTGATAAAACTGCAATAATGCTACTTCACTTGTACACATGTATATAATCCTATCCAATAAAAGAGTAATATGCAAATTGACCAGGCCTGAAGGGGGAGGGAATTTGGGGGGACCAGGCCTGCAGGGGAGGGCAGTTGGGGGGATAAGACTTGCAGGGGAGGACAGTTGGGGGGGACCCAGGCCTGAAGGGGAGGGCAGATGGGGGGATCAGGCCAGCAGGGGAGGGCCTAAACAGGTGGTCAGACATCCCTCAAGGGGTCCCAGATTGGAGAGGTTGCAGGCTGGGCTGAGGGACAACCCTCCCCCCCATTTCACCCTGCTGCACAAATTTTGTACAACGGGCCTCTAATGACTTTTAAAAATATTTTATCTTAGAAAATTTAATTTGCATATAATTTAAGAAAACCATTCTAATGCCACAATATCCTATATAATAAAAGAGTAATATGCAAATTGACTGTACCTCTGCTATACCCACAAGCCACGCCCACCATCCAACCAGGAGCCGGTATGCAAATTAACCCAACCAAGATGGCTGTGGCCACGGAGAGAGCAGGAGGCTTGGGTTTCCTCAGCAATGAAGAAAGCCAAGCTTTCTGCCTTCCCTGGCCTGCCTTGGCCTCTGCTGAAGGCTACAAAGTTTCAGTTAGAGAAGATAAATAAATCCCAACAAAAATGGCTGCAGCCATGGAGAGAGCAGGAGGCTTGGTTCCATTCAAAGCTACAAAGTTTCAATTACAGAAGATAAATAAATCCTAGATACCAGGGCCTCTGCTTGGGTTGCTGGGGGACATGGCCAGCCTGCAAACCACCACAGGCCCATCACCCAGGCCACCCCAAGAAAACCCTACCCTGATCCAGGACACCCTTCAGGGCAAACCAGCCGGCCCCCACACGTGCACCAGGCCTCTATCCTATTTAATCCTCCTATCTAATAAAAGAATAATATGCAAGTTGACCATCATACCAACATACAAGATGGCTGCCCCCATGTGGTCAAAGATAACTGACCCCATGTGGACACAAGATGGCCAGCAGTGGAGGGTAGTTCAGAGGGACCAGTCCTGCAAGGGAGCGCAGTTGTGAGTGATCAGGCCAGCCAGGGATGGAAGCTGGGAGGGACAAGCCCTATAAGAGAGGTCAGAGGGGGCAATTAAGCCTGCAGGAGAGGACAGTTAGGGTGACCAGGCCGGCAGAGGAGGGAAGTTGGGGGTGATCAAGCCTACAGGGAAGGGCAGCTGGCGGGGAAGGGGACCAGGCCTCTAGGGAGGACAGTTAGGTGTGACCAGGCCTACAGGGGATGTCCCAGATTGGAGAAGGTACAGACTGGGCTGAGGGACACATATCCCTGTGGACAAATTTTATGCACCACGCCTCTAGTTATATAATAAGAGCTATTCCTTGTTAAAAAAATTCTCTTCATAAGCATGTTTTTCACTGAATAATATTCTATTATACTATTTAATAAAAGAATAATATGCAAATTGACCATCATTCCAACATACAAGATGGCTGCCCCCATGTGGACACAAGATGGCCGCCACAAGATGGCCAGTAGGGCAAGGACCAGGTCTTCAAGGAAGGGCAGTTGTGGGCGATCAGGCCAGCAGGCAAGGACAATTGGGAGGGACCAGGGCTGCAGGGGAGCAGTTGGGGGTGATCAAGCCTGCAGGGAAGAGCAGTTAAGGGCAATCAGGCTGGCAGGGAAGCAGTTAGGCATCAATCAGGCTGGCAGGGAAGTGGTTAGGGGTGATCAGGCTGGCAGGCAGAAGCGGTTAAGGACAATCAGGAAGGCAGACAAGTGAGCAGTTGAAAGCCAGCAGTCCTGTCCGTCTGCCCGTTTAGGCCTGATCCTACCAAGATCGAGCCTAAATGGGAAGTTGGACATCCCTCAAGGGGTCCCAGATTGGAGAGGATGCATGCTGGGCTGAGGGACACACATCCCCCTGTGCACAAATTTCATACATCGGTCCTCTAATATGGATATAAATGATAACTTTTCTTTTGCTTTCAGATATTGAGGCTACAGGTGATCTTTAGAGATCTTCCCAACATTAGCCCAATCTTATAACCACACCCATTGTTCAACTGGAAATTCCCTTTATTCCTCAGCTACACAAAACATATGGAGGAGAACATTACATTATAAAGACTGAAATCAAAGAAACCCTTATTCCACATATTTTCTCATAGAAAACCTAGGTCTGCAGAAATGTTCAGGACTTTCCCCTTTGAGGTGTCCTTAATCATTCATCCCATCAAATCACTAAGAAAATTAGATTCATTAACAAATTAATCTAGATTTCTGGTATATGTCTAAGATAGAAGATACTGAAGTACTTACAAAATGAATCTGTTAACATTGTTTAGAAACCTACCTGGTTTGGTTCAATGAATAGAGTATTGGCCTGCAGATTATAGAGTCCCTGGGTTCAATTCCAGTCAAGGGCATGCGCCTGGGTTGCAAGCTTGATCCCCAGTGCAGGAGGCAGCCAGTCAATAATTCTCTATCATCAATGATGTTTCTTTCTATCTTTCCCTCTCCCTTCCTCTCTGAAATCAATAAAAATGTATTTTAAAAAATTAAAATTAAAAATATAAGGAAGAACTGGTTGTGTGTAGATAGGGTCACTGGGCTGTTTAGGAGAAAATTGGTGTCAGTTTCCTGAAGAGGGACTATGCTAACCTGTGCAAAATTTTATTTTCCAACCTTGGTCTCAGTCAGACCATTTTTCATTTTGTAATTCACAATCTTTTTGTGCAAACAAGTTATGTTTCTTAATGAATTCCTGGTAAATTTTAGCCTGATTGACACCTCTTCAGAGAAACTTGTTATCCAATCATTTGACTCTCTAACAATTATCTGCAAATTAAGAGTGTAAAGAAAGATCTTTAACCAGACATTCTTTTCTTTTTTTCCAAAAATGATTATTGAAACACTTCTTTTTTTCTATAACTATCTCCACAAACAGAAAAATATTTGAATTGGCTTATTAGAGACCTTTTTCTTCAAAGCAAAGGCAAGAGAATTTGTAATTGTTTATAGCTAAACTGTATGAAAGTTTTTTGGTTTTGTTTTTAAACCATCAGAAAGCATCAGGATGAGGAAAGCAAATGTTTTCATATACTAGGGATAAAAATGGCTCCATTTGAGCAAACAAAATAAAACAAAAAACCCCATACAAACAAACAAAAACCCCACATAGCAACTCACCTGAGTCATGGCTTTGATATTTGTAGAAAAGGATCAGTTGTCCTCTGAACTCCTCCACTTTTGGAAAAAGACAGAGCTGGGGGAAGCAAAAGAAGCTACTTAAGATCTTATTTGCCTTATAGCTCCAAAAATGATCATTTCCCCTCTGTTCACTCCACACAAACACTTGAGGGGTTATTAATGAAAAGAACAGGAAAGTATTTTATTATCCCCAACTCCAGAAACCTCAGGCTTTTGACTAGACCAGAACAGATTTGAACAACCTGATATGGCTTGGAGAATATATGTATACCTACACTCAAAGATGTAATTTCTTTTACATAAATTGTAGCATATTATACATACTGTTACACATATTTGCTATTTTAATTTAGTGTATTTTGTATTGGATCCCAACTAGTACATACAGAGTTGCATAATTCTTAGCTAAATTATACATCATTAAGTGAATATATTTTACTTAACCAATCTGCTGTTGACGATAATTTGGGTTATTTCCAGTCTTTCATTATAACAATGTTGTAAATATCATTCACTGTACATATCATTTTACCAACATATAATTTTGAATGATTAATTCATAAAAGTTGATTGCAATCATTTTGGTTTGGATATACATTGGTCAAACCAGGTTTCAATAATCCTGGATTATACAATCAGGTCCCAAATCCTGAGCAAGAAACAACTGATTGATAAACAGATCCTCTAATTCTGCTTTAAGTCTTGCCTTAAGATAACTAAAGTCCAAAAAAGCAAACAAAGAAATATTACTGAAACTTTAGCAAGATGTTAAAATTAACATAGCAATAAGAAAGAATTACGAGTATAGAAATTATGTAGAAATTGACTATATAACTGATGCTTTAGAATAGCTTTTGATGTTATTACATGAATGAATAATTTTAAAAATCACATATTTTATGTACTTAACATGTTTAAAATGTCCAAAAGAATAGTTATACTAACCAGATCAGTGTGGCACATTGGTTGAGTGTTGACATATAAACCAGGAGGTTACAGTTCCATCTTGGTCAGGGCACCTGCTGGGGATGCAGGCTCAATCCCCAGTGCAGGAGGCAACCAGCCAATGATTCTCTCTCATCATTTTGTTTCTATCCCCCTCTCTCTATCCCTTTCTGAAATCAATCAAATATATTATTAGAAAAGAATAGTTATACAAATAGAAGGATAAATTATTTAGGAAGAGTAACCACTTCTTTATATTTAAACTTTAAAGAAAAAAAACTTTTTTGCTTATTAGATATAGGAAAATAAACTGAGCATTATAAAGTATTAGTGGCCCAGTGCACACAATTTGTGCACATCAAACAAGGATTAGAGGAAATATTTTAATAATGCTATTTGTCCTTTCTCTATAATAGAGGTGTCAGAGATGAAAGAAAATTAGTAAAATGTGTATGAAAATCTTCCTCCTGTCAGAGTCTGGGGTATACCATGGGATCCACAGTAAAGTCCCACCCACCCATGTGTGCCTCAAAATCACATGAGCCCCAGACCCGGCCACCTCCCCCCCATTAGGCTAGATCCAGACCCGGCCGATCTCACCCTTGTCAAGCCCTGCCGAGTGGGAGGGGTGAAGGGGCACAGCATCAGGTCCCCTGGCCAAGTGCTGGGGCAGGGGACCTGGCCTGAGGTCCCCCGGGGGCGCACCTTGAGGACCCCGTGAAGCCCCACCAGGTGAGGGATGCAGCCTGAGATCCCCTGTCAAGCCCTGCCGAGTGGGAAGTATGGCCTGAGGTTCCCCACCAAGCCCTGCTGGGCAGATGGCACACCTTGTGATCCTCTGTCAAGCCCCACTGGGAGGGGGGACACAGCTTCAGGTTCCTCATCAAGCCCTGCTCCGCAGGGGGCATGGCCTGAGTTCCCCGGCCCAGGGCTGGGTCAGTTGGCCCACCTTGAAGTCCCCATGAAGCCCTGCTGGGTATGGGGCATGGCCTGATGTCCCGGCCTAGTGCTAAGGCAGGGAGCATGGCCTGAGGTCCCCAGGCCTGGTGCCAGGGTGGGGAACAAGGTCTGAGGTCCCCTGTCAGGGGCAGGGGGATGCAGCCTAAAGTCCCTGTTGATTGCTCAACTAAGGCTCATTATGGGAACTCAGCCTCTGCTGTGGGCTCAGCCATCTTGTGTTATGGAAACCACTGCCTCCACTGTGGGCACTGCCATCTTTGTGGCGGTGTGATGGTCATTATGCATATTCCCTCTTTATTAAATAGGATAAAGGGCAGTGAGCATTTCTCTCTGCACAAAGCTTCTTGATCATTAAAGAATTCATCAACAATTTCAAGTAAAACTAAACACCCAGGAAGTAGCACCATGTTATCAATTATTTAGTGGCTACTCACTATCTCACTATATTCCCCCAGGTGCATATATATTCCAAGAAATTAAAATCAAAATGGTCCATACATCTCTACCTTAAAACGCTCCTTTTAATATTATCCTATATAATAAAAGCCTAGGCGGCATCACATCCTCACACAACACCCTCGTGCAACATCAGGGGTATCCTCACACACCAAGTTGTTGCATTTGAGGGATGTGTCCCTCCTTTTTAAAGCCAAGCATCTCTATGGCCAAGACTATATATAGTATGCCTGTAAAATGGCCACACCTGGGCATAGAGCACCGCAAAAAAATAACACTACAGGGAAGAAAGTCCTTTAAAATGGAGTAACTTACATTTTTTAGTATTTTACACTTTTATAAATAATAAACTTATCCTATATAATAAAAGGCTAATATGTAAATTGTTCCCTTGACTGGGAGATCAACCAGAATTTCAACCAGGGGGCAGAGCCTGACAGCTAACAGTATACGCCCCTGATCATCCCCCATCACCTCGATGAGGGGCATAACCAGCCAGCCAACCTTCCGCATACCCTCCCCCTGGCTGGCCTGGCCCGAGATTGAAGCTGGTGGGCCAGACCCACCCGTGCATGAATTCATGCACTGGGCCTCTAGTTTTTTTTAATAATAAAAATTATAATTTTACTTACAGTATGTTTTAAATTACTTCTAGAATTATCCTGAAAATTTTCCATATACTAGAAATTATATATGTCTGTTAGTAACAGAACCTGAAAAACAGTTTAATTTTTCTTTTATAATGATAAAGTTAGAAGTAGATAGTGACTGGCCTTGACATCCCACCCCCAGTTGTTTTAGATACAATATCTATCATACAATTAAAAAACGCAAGATTAAAAACAGAAAATAGGAGCAGAACCACAGATAATTCAGACATAGGACCTGGCAAACAAATCATTTAAAATAGCTACAATTAAATGTTAAAGACAATCAAGGAAAAAATGATAGGCAAATGTGTGAGATGAAGAAAATAGAATTTAAATTTATTTTAAAAAAAAAGATTAAAATAGACTTTAAATCAGCAAGTTAAGAAATTAAAAAGTCATTGCACAGTGTTAACATGAAACCAGGCATATAAAAAGTAGAATTACTGAACTAAAAAACAAGTAAAAAATATATTTACATAAAGTGCAGACAAGAAAGAAAAAGAACAAAAAGAACATAAGTTAATATAAAAGACACATGAGACACAGTCAAATTAGCTCCCACACATGTAAATGGCATCTCAGAAAGATAAAGGAGATTGGATAGCAATTAATAGAAAAACATGAACTAAGCCAAAACCGGTTTGGCTCAGTGGATAGAGCTTCAGCCTTCGGACTGAAAGATCCCGGGTTCAATTCCAGTCAAGGGCATGTACCTTGGTTGCGGGCATATCTCCAGTGGGGGGTGTGCAGGAGGCAGCTGACTGTGATTATCTCTCATCGATGTTTCTAACTCTCTATCCCTCTCTCTTCCTCTCTGTAAAAAAACAATAAAATATATTTTATATAAAAAAAACATGAACTAATCAAAAGCTTCAACAAGAGTTTCAAGAAGCTCAGAAAATCTGAAATAAAACAAAGATACAAAACAAAGAGCAAAACCACAACCAAATATAGCCAAATTGTTAAAAACCAAAGAGTAAACAAAAACACCTTGAAAGTAAACAAAGGAAGAAGAAAAAATTACCAAGAGCACTGATTAAAAAAAGAGGGGAACTAAACAAATGAACAATATAAGGAATGAAAAGGTAACATCATTACAGGTTTCATAGACACTAAAAAGATAAAAACAGAATAGTAATAAGTTTATGTTCATAAGTGTGAAAGCTTAGATAAAATAGACAAATTCCTGCCCAAACCGGTTTGGCTCAGTGGATAGAGTGTTGGCCTGAGGACTCAAGGGTCCCAGGTTCAATTCTGGTCAAGGGCATGTACCTTGGTTGCGGCCACATCCCCAGTGGGGGGGGGGGGGGGGGGGGGTTTGCAAGAGGCAGCTGATCGATGATTCTCTCTCATTGATGTTTCTAACTCTCTATCCCTCTCTCTTCCTCTCTGTAAAAAAATCAATAAAATATATATATTTTAAAATAGACAAATTCCTTTAAAAAGCATTCCCAAATTGAACAAAAACAAAATAAAGAGTTAAATTGACCCCAAAATTTAAAATCTTCATATCAAGAAAATTTTAGGCCCAATTGCTTCACCAGTAACTCAGTAACTTCTTCCAAATTTAAGATACAACTTTATTCTTACTTGTAGTGAATAGCAAAACATAAAATTCTTCGTAACTCATTTTGAGGCTAATAGAAGCCTAACACCAAAACTTAACAGACATTAGAAGAAAATATGGGCTAATATTTCTCATAAGGATATAAAACAGAAATTCTACATTAGCAAATTTAACCCAATAAAATTATTTTTAAATGATTTACTATATTATGACCAAGCAGGATTTACTTCAGAAAGAAAAGGTTGGTTTGACATTTGAAAAACAACATAATTTACCACATTGATATCCTATATAATAAAAGAGTAATATGAAAATAAACCATCACTTAGCTACATCCGCAAATCCACCCTCAAGCCACACCCACAAGCCAATCAGGAGTGAATATGCAAATAAACCCAACCAAGATGGCTACAACCACAGAGAGCAGGAGGAAGGCTTGGATTTCCCCAGTAATGGAGGAAGCCAAGCTTTCTACAC